ACCGAAGAGACTGTCGGGTCCCGATTGGACCAGTCTAATCAGTCGATTTGATCCGGGTTTTAAAACAGTGTTAAGAAATCAATCAACTTTGCACATATAAAAAAAAAAAAAATCAAAAAAGTTAATTGAATGAAAGTTTGTTAACATATTGTATTTTTCCTTCTCTTTACTGTAATTCATGCATTGCTTTTTTTTTTTTTTTTTTTCATTTTCATCTAGCCTCATTTGGAGGGTAAAGCTCGTTACATCCCCCTATCTAAGTCTCATCTATTTTTTCAATTAATAAAATTTTCTCATTCATCGAGGTTTGTTTAAAATAAATGATTGTAGGAATCTTTTTCTACTACATTTTTAACAAATTAAATTTGTACACCAAATTTAAAGAACTAAACTGGGCTTACAGGAAAAACCATATTGCTCACAACGCATATTTCTTTATTAATAAAAACAGTCACCCTTGTCTGAAAGCACACAGCACAAGCTACACAGTCTGATCATGGAGAGTCTCTACTAGCACCTCGATCGCCGCCTTTAGATACGTCTTTAAGCCCAATATTATCTTTAAGGGCAGCGAGCGAGGGATCAAGTGGCCAAACCACGGAAAACCAAAAGCCTACCCAAATGGAAATGACAAACCATCAAGGAACTGTGGATTGTAGTATATTTTATCAGTTGACTGAAATCTTTTTGTTGCATGTTGCAGGACCAGCCCTGAATTTCTACTGAATCCTGTAAGAACCACAATCTGGACCTTAGATATGGGCAAAATATATTTTGCTCCATCCTTCTTATGGCAATATGTTTTGCTCTACTGTGAATTCTTTTTTTTTTTTTTTTTTTTTTGGATTTGTAAATCTATGAAGTAGCTGTGGTTATAATATTGGTTATCTTAGCTTTGGTTTAATATTTTTTTTTTCATAAAATCTATACAGCATATCTTAGCTTGATGTACAAATGAATTATAGTCTTTTGCTTTAGATTTAAAATGCTTTCTTGGTGGCACTTGCCTATTTTTGATTAATGGTCATTTTGCAGGGTTATGACTTCAGCTTTCTCTCACAAACTACCATATGACGAGATGCAGAAACACAAGCTCATAGATTTTACTGTGCAAGAATTCCTTTGAACCTTATCATTTGCTTTTTTCCTACCAATGATTGCCTGCTAGAATATGTTCGATGGATTGCATTAATTACATCTTATATATTAGTTGATTTTGCACGTAGTAACACACCTCACAGTTCTTGGATCTCTTCACCTTTTTTTACAGTTATCAGGATTTTTATTTGTTAACTAGGGTTGTCAACCAAATGGGTGTCCTATTTTTCAACTTGCTCCCCTAGAGCAGGCTTCACAGTTTTATGTTAGTTTTTAAGAACTATGTGGGCAGGATGGTACGTTATACTTGCAAAGAAATTTTTGCCCTCAAAAATATAGTAATGATGGTGGGAGAGCGGGAGGGGACTGTTGAGTATGCAAAAGCCTGGCTGATGCCTCACCAGAACTGGGCTTATCAACATCTTTCCTCCTAGAGACCGGTAAAGTGATTGATGACCATGTGTATTTCATTAAGAAAATCCCTTTTGCTACTTAAATTTGGCGGAATAATCCGTCCTTTGGCTGTTGCTTGCTTTGCTATAGTTCCTTTCAGGGAAACAGAGAAAATTAACTATGCTTGGACACATGAATATACATATTAAAAAGATTTAAAACGTGATTGGAAATTTTGATGTTTAACCATGTAGATCATGGTGTCCATTTAGATAACCAAATGGGTGTATATTGTGATACATGTGCTTTATTTCTTGAATCTATAAATCAAACACAAACGAAATTTTTTCCTGGAATGTCAGATAACACAAAAGGAAGGCTGGTGGCTACCGAGTTTCTGAAGCATATCGTATGAAGATGAGAAAATCTCTATGGTTTTGGCTGTCTGATTTTAAATCGTTGACAAGTTTATAGATCAGGGTTGTCCTTCAAGATGATCTCTTCACTATTTATGTACTTTTAGGATCTTGTAAATGGATGAAGTGGTTGAAATGTCTACTGAAAGTTAATTAAATTTTGGCAGTTAAATGGCATCTTTTGAAACAGTGCAGTGGGTTAAATGAACAATTTTTAATTATTTTTTCCGGCCATAATGTGAATCACTTTTCTTTTTTGAAATATTTGTTCTACGATTCTATAATTATTATTGAGGTTAGAAGTGAGTAATAAGAAAACAAGAAAAGTTTGAGAGAGAAGGAAAAAAAAAAATTGAAAGTGGGAGAAAAGGGTCTTCAGTCTTGCGGTAGAGATTTTATATGGGACTAGGGTCTTGTGGTTTTGCGTAAAATTTGGTGTCTTGATTTGTGGATGATTATTAAAAATGGAAGGATGGTAGCAGTTTGGAATTTTGCAAAAAATGGAAGATTTCTTCTCTCTCATTTTCTGTGGGCTTGTGCGCTTCTTTTACGAAATTTTTGGCTTCTGGAAATCCTTTCTTAACCAAAATTCAAATTGAATCCAAATTTCCTGAATAAACTCGGGATGAAAATGTGATCAGGGTTATCTTGGAGCTGTCTTTTAAGTTATAAATAAAGATTACTATTTAAACACCGCCTAAAGTTTGCCCTGATCCTAATAAACACACTGTTAACTGGCAATTATTGTCGCGCTCCTACCGTCAATATCCTCAAATTTCTTCGGTTAATAGTAAAGGTGAAAGAGCAAAATACGCAGGATTAATACATTTACACCCTCTAAAACTCATAAAAAAAAAAAAAAAAAAAAAAAATCTTATATCCCAAAAACTGTCAAAACTACAATGTAGACCCACAAGCTATGGAGTTGATTGAATTTGAGCAAACAAAACTACGAATTGGATAAAGATTGGCTACAACCCAATCTCACAAACTTTCTCTCATAATCTCTACGTGACAGCCATAATTTGGTAAACGAGACCCATAGCGATCAAGCGGAACCCATTTGTAAGTGACCGATTGCGAATTACCACGTTAGAATGTGGAGAGAAAATTTATGAGAGGGTTGGAAGTGTAGTATTATCCATATGAATTACCTAATTATTTTCCTTTTGTGGAATAATGATATATTGTGGTATTACATTTTATCTTGACATATTAAAAATCTTGGAGCTTTTTGTACAAAAACACAATCCTCAGATATGTTGACTAAAAAATATAAAAAAAAAAAATTATTAGATTATAAAATTATTTTATTTCACATTGTCTTTGATTTTCTTTTTCTTTTCAAATTTTTCGAATTTTTCTTTCAATTTTAAATTTTTATTTCACTTTTTCATAATTTTTTATTTAATTCTTTCATATATTTTAATTTTTAATTTACTTAGACTTTCTTTCAATTTTCAGAAATTTTTTTCAATTTTTCTTATTATTTTATTTTTAATTTTTTCAGATTAATTTTTTCAACTTTTCATATTAATTTATTTTTAAATTTATTTAATTTTTCATATTTCTTTGCTTTTTCAGAAATTTTAATATATTTTTCAGTTACAAAACCTACCGCTACAACTTTGTCCCCTAACTTAACAGTTTAAATTTTAAATTTCAACAGAATATAGGGTTAATATGCACAAAAATATTTTGCGTCTTTATGTTGTGTTGGTGTTTAAATTACAGTCAGTCGCCTTTAAACAGTGATTTAGGGCGCATTTGGTTAATGTACAGATGTACTGGACTGGATAAAATGTAGCACTGGAATGAAGTAAATTGGATAAAATTGAAGTAGATTAAATTTAACAGTGTGTCACATGTTTGGTGCAATTGATTATTAATAAAAAATATAATTATCTTAAACATTTAAATTAATAGTAGTAAATGAAAATTTTGAAAATTAATAAAATTTGAACCGGCCTGCCATATTTTAATGTTACTTAATTTAAGATCATAAGAGATTTGAAAAAAATAAAAGTAAATTATAGGGATAATATTGATTAATTAATTAAATCAAATAGATACAAAACTTTTAACAAATCTAATCCGTGTAAATTTAAACCCACATGTTCTTCTCCCTAATCCTTTAATTAATTAATTAATTAATCATTTATTCCGGCTGACGATTGTATTCCTTGTAATCCAAACAATGCCTTTAGCTGTCTAATCATAGGTTATTTTTGTAATTTCAAATAATCGTCTGGCCTGTTTGGTCATTTCCTTTTTTAGAATTATTTATTTAATTGCTGATGCCATCCAATTTTTTTTTTTTTTCTTTTAATGACTAAAATAGGTTTGTTTGTATTTTGATTTAATTTGCGAAAATATTATCCTCAAACTGTGTTAGTTATCCTTGATGATCATACACCCATTAAATCCAATTAGTGACGAATTAAGTTAGTTTGTCCCACATTGCTTAGGAATGAAAAGTGGGAAACTTTTGGGGTCTATATATGAGGACTTAAATCATTGTTATTTGTATACCAAGTTGTAATTCTATTATACTTCTTTTGCTTAGGGTTCTTTCTTTAAGGACCCTTTAGTTTGCAAGTTTTATTGTATCTCCCCTTTCTTTTGAGTATTTGTTGTATTGCCCAAAAGTTTGTAATGTTTTGGAGATAGTTGAGTTTTCTTTTACAGCGTCCGAGGACGTACCGAACCTCGTTAATTCCTGGTATTCTTTATTTTTGCATTTAATTTTAGCTATTTATTTATACTTTACTACTTGTTATTATTATATTCAATAGCTAGCGTTAGAATTTATGTTTCCGTTGTATAACATATGCAAGTAATAGCAAATGCTAGGTCATATATTTGCTGCTTTTCACATATTAAATATGTACCTTAGTTTGCGTTTGATAGTAATTTTCAGAAAATGAATTGTGAATCTGTTCTTTTCTGTACTAATTAATGCTGTTTTGATTCTAACTGCCCATTGCGTATTTTTTAAGTTAAGCTTTATTAGATGAGTTATCCGTATATATACACGTCTTGCACATCATATGCTAACCAACAGAGATAATTTCTTGTTAATTTGCAGGCAAAACACTTGTGTACAACTGACTTTTTAATTTAATTAAATTCTCGTTCTTAATTGTTGATCGGAGTTCATGTAAATGACAGGTAAGGTTCATATTGTCAGTATTTTTTTTTTTTTTTTTACATTGTGGATAGGCTTAATTGGCATTTGGAGACCCAAGAAGTGTCTTGAAGCTCTTCTCATGAGGTAAATTGATTCCAGACTTAAATGACCACTCTCTTTTTTTATGTTTCTATACTTGCTTTTTAGGTAATTTTTAAACACCATTATTTCCTATTAGATGAACTCATTTTTCTTTAATCTTTCATATTAAAAAAATTCTTTTGGACACTACTACTTCTGGGGACAATATTCTTATTATTCTACGCTATGAATATGTGATTTTGTAGATGGAACCTCCTCTCTCTTGACAGTTATACATAGTCTCACCTTCTTTCATTACATGATATTTCGTTGTACTCATATTTATAATGAAGATAATATAATTGTAGATCTAACTGCTAATTAGGTCTTTAATTGACATTTTCGAGTAGGTCTTACCTCGACAAAAGAACCAAGAAAATCCAATGAATGATCTTTGGGGTTTGTCATTTTGTAGTTTCTCTCAATGCTTTTGTATTTTTCCTTCTCTTTACTGTAATTCATGCATTGCTTTTTTTTTTTTTTTTTTTCATTTTCATCTAGCCTCATTTGGAGGGTAAGCTCGTTACATCCCCCCTATCTAAGTCTCATTCTATTTTTTCAATTAAAAAATTTTTCTCATATCATCGAGGTTTGTTTAAAATAAATGATTGTAGGAATCTTTTTCTACTACATTTTTAACAAATTTAAATTTGTACACCAAATTTAAAGAACTAAACTGGGCTTACAGGAGAAAACCATATTGCTCAAACGCATATTTCTTTATTAATAAAAACGTCACCCTTCGTCTGAAAGCACACAAGCACAAGCTACACAGTTCGATCATGGAGAGTCTCTACTAGCACCTCGATCGCCGCCTTTAGATACGTCTTTAAGCCCAATATTATCTTTAAGGGCAGCGAGCGAAGGGATCAAGTGGCCAAACCACGGAAAACCAAAGCCTACCCAAATGAAATGACAAACCATCAAGGAACTGTGGATTGTAGTATATTTTATCAGTTGACTGAAATCTTTTTGTGCATGTTGCAGGACCAGCCCTGAATTTCTACTGAATCCTGTAAGAACCACAATCTGGACCTTAGATATGGGCAAAATATATTTTGCTCCATCCTTCTTATAGGCAAAATATGTTTTGCTCATCCTGTTGAATTCTTTTTTTTTTTTTTTTTTTTTTTTTGGATTTGTAAATCATGAAGTGCTGTTGGTTATAATATTGGTTATCTTAGCTTTGGTTTAATATTTTTTTTCATAAAATCTATACAGCATATCTTAGCTTTGATGTACAAATGAATTATAGTCTTTTGCTTTGATTTAAAATGCTTTCTTGGTGGCACTTGCCTATTTGTTGATTAATGGTCATTTTGCAGGGTTATGACTTCAGCTTTCTCATCACAAACTACCATTATGACGAGATGCAGAAACACAAGCTCATAGATTTTACTGTGCAAGAATTCCTTTGAACCTTATCATTTGCTTTTTCCTACCACCTGATTGCCTGCTAGAATATGTTCGATGGATTGCATTTAATTACTCTTATATATGTTGTTGATTTTGCACGTAGTAAACAACCTCACCAAGTTCTTGGATCTCTTCACCTTTTTTTACAGTTAATCAGGATTTTATTATTTTTAACTAGGGTTGTCAACCAAATGGGTGTCCTATTTTTCAACTTGCTCCCATCTAGAGCAGGCTTCCAGTTTATGTTATTTTTTAAGAACTATGTTGCAGATGGTACGTTATACTTGCAAAGAAATTTTTGCCCTCAAAAATATAGTAATAGATGGTGGGAACAGGGGAGGCTGACTGTTGAGTATGCAAAAGCCTGGCTGATGCCTCACCAGAACTGGGCTATCAACATCTTTCCTCCTCAGAAGACCGGTAAAGTGATTGATGACCATGTGTATTTCATTAAGAAAACTCCCTTTTGCTACTTAAATTGGCGGAATAATCCGTCCTTTGGCTGTTGCTTGCTTTGCTATAGTTCCTTTCAGGGAAACAGAGAAAATTAACTATGCTTGGACACATGAATATAACATATTTAAAAAGATTTAAAACGTGATTGGACAATTTTAAGATTCAACCATGTAGCACATGTTTTAGTTACCATTTAGATACCCAACTGGGTGTCATATATTGTAGAATACATGTGCTTTTATTTCTTTGAATCTATAATCAAACAAACGAAATTTTTTCATGGAATGTCAGATCACAAAAAGAAGGCTGGTGGCTACCGAGTTTCTGAAGCAATCGTATGAAGATGAGAAAATCTCTATGGTTTTGGCTGTCTGATTTTAATCGTTGACAAGTTTATAGATCAGGGTTGTCCCTTCAAGATGATCTCTTCACTATTTATGTACTTTTAGGATCTTGTAAATGGATGAAGTTGGTTAAATGTCTACTGAAAGTTAATTAAATTTTGCAGATATAAATGTGCATCTTTGAAACATGTGCAGTGGGTTAAATGAACAATTTTTTAATTATTTTTTTCCGGCCATAATGTGAATCACTTTTCTTTTTGAAATATATTTTGTTCTACGATTCTATAATTATTATTGAGGTGTTAGAAGTGAGTAATAAGAAAACAAAGAAAGTTTGAGAGAGAAGGAAAAAAAAATTGAAGTGGAGAAAAGGGTCTTCAGTCTTGCGGTAGAGATTTTATATGGACTAGGTCTTGTGGTTTTGCGTAAAATTTGGTGTCTTGATTTGTGGATGATTATTAAAAATGAGAAGGATGGTAGCAGTTTGGAATTTTGCAAAAATTATGGAAGATTTCTTCTCTCTCTATTTTCTGTGGGCTTGTGCGCTTCTTTTACGAAATTTTTGGCTTCTGGAAATCCTTTCTTAACCAAATCTAAATTATCCAAATTTCCTGAATAAACTTCGGGATGAAAATGTGATCAGGGTTATCTTGGAGCTGTCTTTTAGTTATAAATAAAGATTACTATTTAAACACCGCCTAAAGTTTGCCCTGATCCTAATACACACATGTTATACTGGCAATTATTGTCGACTCCCTACCGTCATACCTCAAATTTCTTCGGTTAATAGTAAAGGTGAAAGAGCAAAATACCAGGATTAATACATTTACACCCTCTAAAACTCATAAAAAAAAAAAAAAAAAAAAAAAAATCTTATATCCCAAAAACTGTCAAAACTACAATGTAGACCCACAAGCTATGGAGTTATTGAATTTGAGCAAACAAAACTACGAATTGTATAAGATTGGCTCACAACCAATCTCACAACTCTCTCATAATCTCTACGTGACACTCATAATTTGGTAAACGAGACCCTAGCGATCAAGCGGAACCCATTTGTAAGTTGACCGATTGCGAATTACCACGTTAGAATTGTGAGAGAAAATTTATGAGATTGGGTTGGAAGTTGTAGTATTATCCATATGAATTACCTAATTATTTTCCTTTTGTGGAATAATGATATATGTGGTATTACATTTTTTATCTTGACATATTAAAAATCTTGGAGCTTTTGTACAAAAACACAATTTCCTCAGATTTGTTGCTAAAAAATATAAAAAAAATTATTAGATTATTAAAATTATTTTTTTCACATTGTCTTTGATTTTTCTTTTCTTTTCAAATTTTTCGAATTTTCTTTCAATTTTTAAATTTTTTATTTCACTTTTTCATAATTTTTTATTTAATTCTTTCATATATTAATAAACTTCGACTTTTCATTTCAATCAAAATTATTTCACATTATTATTAATTTTTCAGATTAATTTTCAACTCATATTAATTTATTTTAAATTTTTTCAATTTTTCATATTTCTTTGCTTTTCAGAAATTTAAATTCTATTTTCAGTTACAAACCTACCGCTACAACTTTGTCCCCTAACTTAACAGTTTAAATTAAATTTCAACAGAATATAGGGTTAATATGCACAAAAATATTTGCGTCTTATGTTTGTGTTGGTTGTTTAAATTACAGCAGTCGCCTTTAAACAGTGATTTAAGCGCATTGGTTACATGTACAGATGCTGGACTGATTAATGTAGCACTGGAATGAAGTAAATTGATAAAATGAAGTAGATAAATTAAACAGTGTGTCACATGTTTGGTGCAATTGATTATTTAATAAAAATAATATTATCTAAACATTTAAATTAATAGTAGTAAATGAAAATTTTGAAAATTAATAAAATTTGAAACCGGCCTGCCATATTTTAATGTTACTTAATTTAAGATCATAAGAAGTTTGAAAAAAATAAAAGTAAAATTATAGGGATAATATTGATTAATTAATTAAATCAAATAGATACAAAACTTTAACAAATCTAATCCGTATTAAATTTAAACCCACATGTTCTTCTCCCTAATCCTTTAATTAATTAATATAATCATTTATTCCGGCTGCGCATTGTATTCCTTGTATCCAAACAATGCCTTTAGCTGTCCTAATCATGAGTTGTTATTTTTGTAATTTCAAATAATCGTCTGGCCTGTTTGGTCATTTCCTTTTTTAGAATTATTTATTTAATTGCTGATGCCATCCCATTTTTTTTTTCTTTCTAATGACCTAAATAGGTTTGTTTGTATTTGATTTAATTTGCGAAAATATTATCCTCAAACTTGTGTTAGTTATCCTTGATGATCAACACCCATTAATCCAATTATTGACAAGAATTATGTGTCAAAATAATATTTTTTTTTTAATTTTTTAGTATCATATAATATTTTTTTATTTTATTTAAAGCCTTTAGATTCATAATCAAATAGGTTTTTCAAAAAGATTCCATAACCTGTCATGTTCAACTTTCTTAATTGTTTAGTCAAGATTAATAGGTTTAAATGAATTTTTTAAAGTTATGGCTAGCACTAATATTTGCATAGACTCATTATATTCAATTATTAATTGAAATTTTTCATTTTTTATTTTAAAAAAAGAGAGAGAATATTCACAGAGAGGCTTAGATCACATTGATTAATTTTTTTTAAATGCTTTAAGGTTTAATCATAAAAATTATTATATATTAGACTAAAAAAAAATTAGCTTGAGTTAGAAAAATTTCTCTGTCCCTAACTTCACACCTAGAAAACCTAAAATATGTTTCCGATAAGTTTGTGTCAGTTACCCACCACTAGGTGATTTGATGGTAAAATAGTAAAAAGAAAGTTCCTAAGTTCGAGTTTCTATAGGCTCTAATAGGATTCACTGAGGAGCTTACTCGGTCTTCAACTCAAGACTCGAGTGCATGCAAACGGGCTCGAATACCCTCGATCACCAAAAAATAAAAGTTTTTATATCTCTTATATGATTCTCAGGTGCAATCATTTGTTCGTTGTTGAGATTCTCCATTTGTGTCCTTATACGATGACTTGCACTGTTAATAGGTTGAGGTTTCATCATATAATTTGTTGCTGAAGTCATTATTCAATTCTGGCGGGACTCCATCTAGGTTTAGATGTGTTGGATCCATAACTCTCTAGTCATTGCGCGATGGTAAGCCCTTCGACGATGCAATCACCACACAAATTGGTTGCCGGTTAGAGACAGTTGCCAAGATTGGCCGAAGATGAAACCTGTTTGGAATTTTGCAAAAATTATTGTAAGCAAATTTGGAAGATATTTGGATTCTTTTAACCTCTCTAAAATATTTATTATTAAAAATTAATTTTATTTGATATTATTTTGTAAATTTTTAATGAAAATTAAATTAGATTTATTGGATTTTGTGTTTTTAAGATTTAGGAAGGCATTTGGTTTCATTTTCTAAAAATAACATTATGCAAATAAAATAATTATAATGTGTTCTCTAGTAGTTTATTTAAAAAAAAAACATAAATATAATGATTAGTTTACCTTTATAATACCTAATTGTTAAATTATTTTCAAAAATTATAAATTTCAAATGAGTTAAAAGTTTATTTGTTTTTGTAAATTGTTTCCTTTCAATAAAACTTTAAACAATATAAATGCAATGGTTAGGACAATTATTGACGTCGTATAGTAATTCTTTTATGTAAATTTAGGTTTAAGAAGCGAATCAACTTACACAAATTAAAAATTAAAAAGCTAATTCAAACTTGACTATCTTTGAATGGACAAAAACGACTATGTCTTGTGTAGTTGGCTTGTCGTTTATGCATTGAATCAAAGTTTGTTAATAGCATTACTTTTTATTACAATAACGCACGTAGTAGAGATATTTCTATTTTGTAAAATTTAGGTTAAGAAACCTTGTTTCAATACCCAACCCGTCAAGGGACCATAAGAGTAAGGTGCCATTGGGTCTTGAGTTGACCGGTCTATCGGTTAAACGGACAAATCTTGTAAACACACCCCTAAAAAAAGAATTAATTCTTATAGGATAGAAATTAATTCCTACAGGTTTAAATCTAACAAATACACGCCTGTAATCTGTTTGAATTTTGACTTCTCCGACCAATTCCGTTATTCCAGAGGCCAAAATTTAATCCGACACCACCAATTGAACCACCGTCCTCACCTTTACAAACCCCTCTAATCACAGAACTTGGTAGCCCTCTTTCGC